AGGGGCCCTGCGTGCCCGCTCCGCCTGAGCCCAGCGTCGGGGTCGTCACAGGGCCCGGGGCAGCCCCTGCTGCTCTGAGCTGGTGACAGACACACACGGGGGCACGGGGTCAGCTCATTTGGGAGCAAAGACTAATTGACCCAGCAGGTCCCTGTACGTTTTGCTGAGCCACCTCCGACTAAGCAGATGTGTAAATAACCCAGGAAGGGCAGATTGGAAAAATAAGGAAGGTGAAGTCCCCGAACAGACTTTAAAAAGTAAGTCAATTACTGGGAGATAAAACTAGAAAGCAAAGGCTGAAATGCATCGCACACCAAAGGCTGCCGCGGAGATGAAAGCAAGGCCCGAACCCGCAACAGAATCCAGGACCAGAGATAATGCAAGGGATCAAATCTTCACATAAAAGCACAGTCCCAGCGTTGATTAAAAATAATTTCTTTAAATACCAGGAAGCAATTTTCAAGCACCAAGGGTGGTTTTAAAGAAGAAAAAGACTTTTCTGCTTGTAAAATCTAGCTTCTATACACCACCTCCTTTTATTTTATTAAAATATATTTTATTGGTTTTTTACAGAGAGGAAGGGAGAGGAATAGAGAGTTAGAAACATCGATGAGAGAGAAACATCGATCAGCTGCCTCCTGCAAACCCCCTACTGAGGATGTGCCCGCAACCAAGGTACATGCCCTTGACCTGAATCGAACCTGGGACCCTTTGGTCCGCAGGCCGACGCTCTATCCACTGAGCCAAACTGGTCAGGGCTATACCATCTCCTTTTAGTAAAGATTTGAGATAAGCACATATGAAACAGCATGGCTCAAATAAAGATGAATTTGTAATAGATCACCAGGCATTTTGGAAGGCTGCAACATGAAGCCCCAATCTGAATGTGTGGGAGCTAAGTTGGACTTGGAGCTTCCCGGCATCCAAAGCAAAAACAGACCAGAAGCCCCTCCCGGTGAGCGATACCGAGGAAGGGCTGCAGCCCCCCGAGTGGGGGTCACACAGCTCTCAGAGAAAGTAAGAAGCAGGGAGCAGCACTCGTGTTTTACGTCAGGGATAGAAACACAATCTGCCGACACCGTGAGTCTTTTAAAATAACATTTTATTTTCCATTGTCAGTGATTAACTCTGGAGCCTACTAGAAGGGTATCATGATTACAGTGAATAAAAAAATATAGATGACAGAATAAAAATATTAGGTTACACAAAGTTAGTTTTTGTTTTGTTTTTTTTCAAAATCATCATTCAGCGACATTTTCAGGACATTGGAGCTTTGAAAAAACAACGACAGAACTTCACGTGGACTGTTTATTTATTTTTTTTACATTTCCAGGAACTAAAAATGAAGAGCCCACGTGGAGAACGCCTGCGGACACCTGTTCCAATAAACGCGAGGCCCACAGAGACGAAGACGAGCCCCGAGAGCCATCGTATGTACACAGTCTGTACAGAGGACGAGAATTCACCCCGTTCGGCCACCTCCCGGGGCTCACCCATTCTTTATTTAAAAAGAGAAAGAAAACGGATCTTCCTATACTCAGAGTTATTTTTCCACTTGATCCAGGATTTGTAAGCGTGTTTCCACTCCATAAATTAGTAGCTGTTCAGTAGCTGAGAAATATCCTATTTTAAATTATCCCAAAGGCGACCAGGAACTCCGGAAAGGGTTGATGTTACGATGTCGGTGGAAGAGGATACGTCCAACCAGCCAAGGTCCCCGTGAGCCGCAGCGCGGAGGGAGGAGGGCTGCACCCCATCCCGGGGGGAAGCTGGGTCTGGCCGAGGAGAAGGCGTGACGCCCGACGCCCAGCGCTCGCGGTTCTCAGGCCGATGGGCTAACCCGGCCGCGCTCAGGTCAGCTCCACCTGCTCCTGCTCAGGTGTCATTTGGCACCGAAAGGAAGGGCTTTGGGGCAAGACTTGGGCTCTCAGGGAGGCCCATCGGCAGCCCCCGATGTGGACACACGCCCAGGATGCCCCGGCCTGCGTCCACCTCGCTCCCCACTCCGAAGGGCTGCGCATCCCACGGCTGAGAACAAACTCATTTTAAGGAGGAGCATCTGCCCCGAGTGTCAGACATCACGGGTCCGATGAGGTAAACGCCAGACAGAGGGGACGAGGGGGGACGGCTCGCTCACTGCACGATCCCGGAGTCCACGGACGTCTGCTTGCGCGTGGTCTTCGGGGGCGGCGGGGGCGGGGTCTTGCTGGGCAGCGGGGGCGGCAGGTGCTGGAAGACAGAAGGCC